GGATGTTGAAAGAAAAGAAGACAGAAGAAGTAAAGAGGACTCCAAGATTGAAAGCCTGTGTGAATGGAAAGTTCATAAGACTATAGAGCTAGAACAAGAAGGAACTTTAGGGGGCAGCGAGGTGGCGCAGTGGATAGAGCTCCAGCCCTGGAGTCAGGAGGACCCGAGTTCAAATCCAGCCTCAGACACTTACTAGCTGTGTGACCAAGTCACTTAACCCCAACTGCCTCACTAAAAAGCAAAAAAAACCAAAAAACAAAAAACAAAAACCTTACGTGCCATTTGGTCCAACTCATTCATTTCCAAATGAGAAAACTAGGAACAAGAGACCTTACATGACTTTCTGACGCTATACAGACAGTAAATGGAAGAGCTGGTATTCAAATCCAGGTCCTCTCTGACTCCAAATACAGTTCTCTTTTCTCTGTACCATAACACTTCCCAAATTTGTGCCATAAAAAGAAATTGCTAAAATTGAAAGAAGGGTAAGATAAGTTCAGTTTTGAGTGTTGGGTGCCAGGCACAAATCCAAGGAGAGATTTTGAAATGAACACATTTTAGATTTTTCATAAGCAACACACTGTTAACTGCTTTACAGATAAAAATTTAGTATTCAAAACATTGCTTATTCTACCTCTGGCTGCTTCCAGGATCACAGAGCCATCTTCATGCCATGACTCCTTGCTCTACCCTCCACCTCTGGAGCTCAGGGCTCAAAGATACTAATGATCTCTTAATTGACAAATCTAAAAATGGCTTTTCCTCCAGCTTCATCTTCCTTACCATTCTACAGTCTTTGACCCACTTCTCCTTAATCACACCTGCTCTTTCCTGGCTATCCTCCTACCTATTTTACTACTTCTCAATCTCCTTGGCTGTATCTTTATCAGGTCATGCCCATTAACTGTGAGTCTATCCCAAGGCTCTGTCGTGAGCCCTCTTCTCTTCTCCCTCTAGACTATTTCACTTGGTGATCAGCTCCCATGGATTCAATTATCATCTCTATACAAATGATTCTCAGATGTGTCAAGCTCTATCCTCTCTCATGACCTCCAGTCCTGAATTTCCAACTGCCTACTAGATATCTCGAACTAGACAATGTCCCACAGACACCCTAAATTCAGCAGGCCCAAGCCTGAACTCATTATCTTTTCCCAAAAACCCTCCCTCCTTACAAATCTATTATTGCAGAGCACCACCATCCTCCCAGCTCACAACCCAGATGTCATCCTCATTCTTTACTCTCTCAATCCCCATATTCAATCTGTTGCCAAGACCTGTCCTATTCTGGTAAATGTCCCCTTCTTATCTATGACACTGCTACTTCCCTGATCCTTATCACCTCACTCTTGGACCATTCCAATAACCTGCCTCAACTCTCTCCCTGCTCTGGTCCATCTTCCACTCTGATTCACTGAAGCATAGTTCTGACCACATTACCCCCTACTCAATAAACTACAGTTCAAATATAAAATTCTGTATTTGGTTTTTAAAGTCCTCCATAAAATGGCACATTCCAACCTTCTAGTCTTCTTATACCTTCTTTCCCTTTTATATACTTTGCGCTCAGTGACACTGGCCTCCTTGCTGTTCCTTACACATGACATTCTCTGCTTGGATTCCATGTATTTTTACTGGCTGTACACCATACCAGGAATGCTCTCCCTCTTCATTTCTTGTCTCTCATATTCCTTGACTTCCTTCAAGATCACAGCTAAAGCCCACCTTCTACAAGAAGCCTTTTCCAATCTCCCTTAATGTTGGTGCCTTCCCACTAAGATTATCTATTTTATTTTTAAAAATTTTATATCTTGTTTGTACATGGTTGTTTGCATGCTGTTTCAGCAATGAGAATGTGAGCTCTGAGAGCACACACTAGTGTTTTTTAGAGTTTTTTCTTTTGGTCTTTCTTTGACTCCCCAGTGGTTATCACAATGCCTGGGACATAGTGGATGCTTAAAAGTGCTTGTTGATTGGGCTTGACGTTAGATATAATGCTCTATAAAGGTCCTCAAGTATGTCCTATTAAAAAATTTAGCCCAAGTCTCTTCTCCCATGTAACTGGGTCGTAGCCTGGTCTATGCCTTCTGGATTAAATATCAAGTCCTTTACTCTTATCCCACCCAATAATGCCCAGGCCTTACCTAAAAGAATTTTAAGTAATTGAAAATGGAGGTAATATATTAAAAATTAACGTGCTTGAGTTTTTTAAAAAGCTTATATAAATTACAGCTTATATATCTGTATAGTTAGACCAACTACTTTAGATTTTTTACATTTCATTTTATTTTTTCTCAATTACATGTAAAAATTTTTTTAACATTCATGTTTTAAAATTTTGAGTTCAAAATTCTCTCCCTCCCTCTACCCCCTCCTTAAGAATGCAAGCAATTTGACATAGATTATACATGTTCAGTTATGCAAAACATCTTCATATTAGGCATTCTGCAAAAGAAAATGCATACAAAAAACCCAAAGATGATAAGGTAAAAAAGAAGTGTACTTCAATCTTCCTTCAGACTCAATCAGCTCCTTCTCTGGATGTGGACAGCATTTTTTCATCCTAAGTCTTATGGAACTGTCTTGGATCATTATATTGCAGTTGATCATCATACAATATTGCTATTACTATGTACAAAGTTCTCTTGGTTGTGCTCACATCACTGCATTGGTTCACATAAGTCTTCCCAGGTGTTTCTGAAAATATCCTGCTTGTCATTTCTAATAGCACCGTAGTATTCTATCCAATCATATAACACAACTTGTTTAGCCATTCCTCAACTGATGGACATCCTCTCAATTTTTAATTCTTTGCCATCCACAAATAGAACTGCTATAAATATTTTTGTATACATGTGACCTTTTCTTTTCTTTTATCTCTTTGAAGTACAGACCTAGTAGTGATATTGCTGAGTCAAAGGGTAAGCACAATTTTATAGCCCTTTGGGCATAATTCCTAATTGTTCTCTAGAATGGTTAGATCGGTTGACAACTCCAGCAACAATGCAATAGTGTCCCAATTTTCCCACATGCCCTCCAATATTTGTCATTTACCTTTTCTGTCATATTAGTCAATTTGATAGGCGTGAGGTGGTACCTCAGAGTTGTTTTAATTTGTATTTCTCTAATCAATAGTGATTTAGAGCATTTTTTCATATGACTATGGATAGCTTTGATTTTTTTATCTGGAAATTGCCTCATGTATCCTCTGACATTTATCAATTGGGAAATGACTCATACTAATATATTTGATGCTGTTCTCTATATATTTGAGAAATGAGGCCTTTATCAGAGAAACATGCTATAAAATTTTTTCCCCAGTTTCCCACTCTCCTTTTAATCTTGGCTACACCAGTTGTGTTTGTGTAAAAACTTTTAAATTTGATATAATCAAAATTATCTATTTCACATCCCTTAAGGTTCTCTATCTTTTGTTTGGTCATATATTCTTCCCTTATCCATAGATCTGACAGGTAAAGTTGCTTCTCTAATTTGCTTGTATCTCCCTTTAAGCCTAAATCATGTACTCATTTTGGCCTTATGAGATGTTGGTCTATATTTAGCTTCTACCAAACTGCTTTTCCAGTTTTCTCAGCAATACCATAACTTGCAAGTGAAATAGATTTATGTGAGGGAGGGCTGTGCAAAGTCACCAGCCTCACTTTCTTCTCAGGAGCCATCTGGGTCCAGTGGCAAGATAGAGATCAGGACAACTAGAGATGGTCCCCTTGTTAAACAGAGCTCTTGTCCAAAAAGCTTGGATCTTAGGGTTTGTCAAACACTAGATTACTATGTATTGTGCACCTAATCTATTCCACTGATCCACCACTCTTTCTTAGTCAGTACCAGATTGTTTTGATGATTACCTCTTTGTAATAATAGTTTGAGATCTGGTACTGCTAAGCTACCTTCCTTCACATTTTTCCCTTGGTATTCTTGACCTTTTGTTCTTCCACATGAACTGTTATTTTTTCTAGTGCTATAAAATAATTTTTTGGTAGTTTGACTGGTATGGCACTAAATAAGTGTATTAATTTATATAGAATTGCCATTTTTATTATGTTGGCTTGGCCTATCCAAGAGAAATTAGTATTTCTCTAAGTGTTTAGATCTGACTTTATTTGTGTAAAAAATGTTTTGTAAATGGGTTCATACAGTTCCTGGGTTTGTCTTGGCAGGTAGACTCCCAAGTATTTTCTACTGTGTAAAGTTATTTTAAATGGAGTTTCTCTTCTTATCTCTTGCTGCTGAACTCTGTTGGTAATATATAGAAATGCTGATGATTTATGCGAGCTTATTTATATCCTGCAACTTTGCTGAAGTTGTTAATTATTTCAACTAGTTTTTGAGTTGATTTTCTAGGAGTCTACAAGTATACTATCAGATCATCTGCAAAGAGTATACTTTATTTTAAACAAACTCATTAAATCAATGCCATGGTTCTCTCCTGTAGGATAATACATTTTAATATATTGCCCAGAAAACCCTCTAGGATTGTAGATAGGAAACTTTACATTTTCATTTGCACCCTGACAGTCCATCATGGATTCAACAACCTCCTGCTCCTTGGTTACACTCTAGCCATGCTGCTCCCTGGTTGACTGCTGCTGCTGCTACTGCTACTACTGTTCTAAGCTTATTTTTATTAAAAAGTAAATTAGCAGGTGTTAAAAAAAAAGAGTGGATTAAAGACGGATTAGAATGCAAATAAGGTTTCCTCTTTGATTCAATCAGAAAAATTGAAAGAACATTGAAAAAAGGGAAAGTTTTAAAGTTTTAAACATGGACATTAATACAGTCATTTTACTTTGTCCAAAACAAGAACCTATGGATTCCTCTATATCAAGGGATCTCCAAAAATCTAACTCCTTCAAAAGGAGAAAATAATCTATATGTTAACACAAAATACAGTTCTGTAAGACCCATCCTACTTCCACAGGATACTATTTAAAATTATATGTTTTAACTCTAGTTATAATGAACCATGCTCTATTACTTACCAGTCTATCAAGTATATGTCAGGAGTAAGACTGTAAGACTTGAAGTGAAGAAACAATTTGGAAAGATTTTCTTCAAAGAACACTTCAAATGTTGCAAAATATTTCAGCATCTGCAAGTAAAAATATTACCAATGATATAATTTAAAAGCCAAGGGAAATTCTAATAATCATAGGAATAAATTCCTTACCATTGAGGTTTATCAACAGAAAATATAGCTTCATTACCACTCATCCCAACCTTCCTTCCAATCATGCATGTTGCTACAATAAAATTTAACATTTAGATTGCTGAACAATTATTCTAGACTTCCTATACTTACTTTTCATTGTAATGGAGAACGTATTCAAAATCAAAATGAAAATTGTTATATCTGTTAAATGTCCTTACCATGCTATGATCTACACGGAAAAAGGCCAATTGGCATGGCTTATTCAAGAGATTTGCAAAGGCAATGAAAGCATCTGCCTCTTCCAAGTTGAGAATGAGTACTGCAGCAATGAAGGACATCCCTTGGACCTTCAACAAGAAAAGGAGCTAATAAATTTTGTGTAGGATAATAATAAGATTAAGTCTAATTACAAAGTAGTTCTACGATTAAACAAGAGATTTTCCTCTAGTACAGGCAAAGTGACTAAGAGTTTACCATAATTTTATGTCTAATACAAGTGGCATGTTTAAAAAATGTTAAATTCTACCTGTTACAAAGTATCTTACAATGCATAGAAGCAGTAATCCAATCAGGTATTTGTCCAGTACAGCTTTGTAACTTTCACCCACCTAGCCTAATGCTTTCTTCTTTTCAAATTCCCAGCTACAATTCCTACAATTGAATCATTTGAATCATATTCATCCAGAACAAAGCTCAATTCTTCTCTCACTTAAAAAAAATACCTATCTTGTTTGTTAAGAAAAGTGACTGCTACCACTGTCATTCCCCAGAGGCTGTTCCAAATCTTCTCTCCCAAAGCCTTCCACACTATCTCTTCCACCACCTCTCACTGACAGAGGATGAAGAGAAGAGAACCTCATCTTAGTTCTAATCCATCTTTAATCTGCTATTTCACTGAAAAATAAAGTAAGACATTGTGTATAAACTCCCTTTCCTCCCATTCTCTACATTTCAAAACACCATGACATCATCACTAATTTTCTCCTTTTCTCCAGGTTCTGATAGTAGACTCTTCTCCCTAAAGCCAACTCCTTAGCATGCACCCATATTTCCTGTCACCATTATCTTCTCCTCAATACCATCCCAGCTTCAATCTCTCCTTATCTACTGATTCCTTCCCCTCCAAAGCTTTCAAATATCCTCAGGTCTCTTCTATCATGAAAAACAAAACAAGAATTAAACTAAAGTCCTAACTCCCCCCTTTCATTCTCAACCTTAAAGAAAAAGTTGTTTGTGCCCCGAGCTTCCACTTTTCAAACTTTTGTAATCTGTAATTTGGCTTTCTATCTCATTACTCAACTGAAATTTCTTTTCAAAGTTAACCAACCATCTCTTAATGGCCTTTCTCAATTCTTATCCTGCTTGAATAATTTAAGAAAACAAACATTGGTACATACAGACAAAAGTACTTTCCCCACTTATCCTTACCTGAGTTTTCAGGATCCCACTTTCTCTCCCCTCCCCGACTATTCCTCTCTGACCACTCCTTCTGTGTCCCTTTGCTGGCTAATCATTCAGATCATACTCCCTAATCATGTGTGTTCCTCAAGGTTCTGTCCAGCAGTCTCTTTCCTTTCTATATTATCTCAGTGAATCATCTCCCATGGGGTTAAATATTACCTCTACATAGATAACTCTCAAATCTACAGATCTAGCCCATAGTACCTCTCTTGAGCTCCAGCCACTCATCTTTAACTGGCTAGTAGATATTTCATTTTTCTCGTCCTATATATTTCATAGTTTGTCCTGTATATATCTCAAACTCAACGTGTCCAAAACAGAACTCATCTTTTTTTTAAACTTTTTTTTTTTTGCAAGGCAATTGAGGTTAAGTGACTTGCCCAGGGTTACACAGCTACTAAGTGTCAAGTGTTTGGTCTGAGGCTGGATCTAAACTCAGGCTCTCCTGACTTCAGGGCTGCGGCTCTATCCACTGCGCCACCTAGCTGCCCCCTAAGAACTCATCTTCTAAAACTCAACCTCTTACCAGAACTTTACTAATTTCTATAAAACACATCATCATCCTTCCATTTACATAGGTTTTCAATCTTAAAATCAACCCCTCCCTTCCCACACCAAATCAGTCACCAAATCTTGTCAACTGCATCTCTTCAACATCTCTTGCATCAATCTCTTTTTCTCCATGCACATGGCTACCTCCCTAATTCCTTCAAGTCCTCATCAGGCCCTGGATTAGTGTAAAAAAGCCTTGTTAATGGGGCTCCTTGCCTCAAATCTCTCTCCCTTCCAAACCATCCTCTAATGCAGCCTCAAAATGGATTTATTTCTCAAGGACAAATAGAATCAGGCCATCATTCAAAAGTGCCAGTGCTTTAAAAAAAAAAAACACGCCAGGGCCTCCCTATGACTTGTAGAATCAAACACAAACTCTGTTTTGTTTTTGTTTTTAGGCAATTGGGGTTAAGTAACTTATCCAGGGTCACACAGCTAGTACGTATCAAGTGTTTGGTCTGAGGCCGGATATGAACTCAGGTCCTCCTGACTTCAGGGCTGGTGCTCTATCCACTGTGCCACCTAGCTGCCCCCACAAACTCTTTTGAGGGGCATTTAAAGTTCTTCCTAACTTGGTTCCAACCTATCTTTCTAGCTTTATGTATACACTGTTTCTCCACTTCTACTTGACTTGTCTCCTACGTATTTAGAATGAAATCTCTTCGTGGTCTCTCTGTTATAATTCTGCTGTTGTTATTATCCTTGGTTGCTATATTTATTTATTCTTATATTTCTGTTGTCTGGAGTGTCTGAGAAGCAAAAAGTTCCTTCAGGTCTGGTTTCTTTCTAGGAATGTTTTCAGTGTCTCTCCTTACTGAACATCTATATTTTTTCATTAATGGTTAGGCTCAGGTTTGCAGGGCAGGACACCTTCAGTGAACTCCTTTGCTCTTTGGAACACATTATTTCACCTTCTGCAGTTTCTGGAGAGAGCACACTAGTCCAGTTATTCGGTTTTCCTTTTTTTTTTTTTTTTTAAATATTTGAAGGTCTTTCTCTTCATCACTTACATAATTTCTTATCATCAGAATTGTTAAATTTAACCACTATGTGTCTTACAGTTTGCAGCCCAGGGCTGTTTTCTGGAGGCAATCTGTGGATTCTTTCAAATGACCCTGTGTTTTCTATGTTCACAAGTTCCAGGCAGTTTTCCTGTATTATTTCTTCTACGGTGATGTTCAGATTCTTTGACTTGTCATGTTTTTCTGTGAGTTCTATAGTCTGTAAGTTGTATCCGTGCATCTTGTCGTTGAGATCAAAATGTTTTGCTTTTATGGAGATCATGCTTTCTTTTGATGTTGTTTTTTGCTTCTTTTCTTCCAGATTATCTTTTACTTCTGTCTATTTGCATTCTCACTCAAGTTATTTTCTCTTTTCTTTGGTGAGACTTGCCACCATACATTCAAGTTTTTCTCTTCTGCCAAACTTTTCTACTGTGCAGGCCATCAATTCTGTTTTCTCCATTCTTCTCAATTAGGGACACCTAGGTGGCACAGTGGATAGAGCAATAGGACTAGAATCAGGAAGTCCTGAGTTCAAATCCAGTATGAGAAACTTACTAACTGTAAGATCCTGGGCAAGTAATTAATCACTTAACTTCTGACTGCCTCAGTTTCCTTATCTGTAAAATAGGGATGATAATAATAACAGCTACCTCAAAGGCTTGCTATGAGTATCAAATGAGGTAATAATTGTAAAGTGCTTAGCACAGTGCCTGGCATATAATAAGCACTATAGAAATGTTAGCTATTATCATTATTATTTAAATAATTCAAAAACATTCTTCTAAGGTTCAATGACCTTTTGGGAATATCAGGGTCCTCTGCCTTATCAGGTACTCATTCATTTTTTTTTTTTTTACTATAATATTTGTTCACAGATGCCTAAAATCTCTCCCCTGATCTGGAGGTCATTTCCCCCTTCTGTTATGACCTCCTCTTTCGGTTTACATGCTTCTGCTCAAGGCCTTTTAAGTTTTCTTGCTCCTGAGATCTCTGCTAATTTTGTTTTTTTTCCTTACTTTTCTCTGTTACTTACTTTCTAACTTCTTCCCTCTTGATGGCAGTCTCCTGGAGGGCTAGCAGTCTCAGACTCCTTCCACAGTTCATGAGCTTCATCAGCATCAAGTGCCGGGGGTAGGGGGACTGAACCAGCCCCAGATGGATGCAGGACTCTCTCCCTCAGGCTGAACGGGGTGTCATACAATCCCACACACATCCTGCCTTGGTACTCTCTACTCAGCACAGGGAGTGTGTATGGGGGGATGGGTGAGGGTGTAGTATGGGGATGTACAGAATTGACTTCTATTGCATGCCAGTGGGCTGTACCTAGTGGGAGATAGGGAAGGGTGATGAGTGAGCACATTAGGGGTTGGGGATTATTGGCCTTCTCTGTTAATTGTTTTACCTCATTCGGGTTTTTGGTGTCCTAGACTGCAGAGACAGCTGAAACTGCTTTATTTCTTCCACAGAGTTCCAAATTTGGAGACAATGAGAGATGGTGAAGACTGCAGAAAATGTCTAGTCCTCCACCTTCTTGGTCACATGACCTATAGTCTTCCTCCTCCTCACTCTCTCTTCAATGCAGCCAAACTCACAATTTTGCTGTTCCTCCCAAACAACACCATCTCCCATCTCCATGCTTTTGCACAGGTGTTTCCCTCATAAATGGAACACACTCTCTCCTCACTTCCACCACTCAGGATCCTACCTCAAGTGCCACTCCCTACATGAAGCCTAAAATTCGCTTGTATTTGTTCTGTAAAAGTTTTACACATCTTTATATGGCTATATAGGAGAAGCAATGTGGAATGGCAGGTAGAGAGCCAGCCGTAAAGAGCTCAAGCCCTAGCTCTAATACACTCAGGCTGCTGGCTGTGCACCTCTGGGCACATATCACTCAATTTCTCAATGCTCTAAGCATCTTTCCAAGACTCTAAGCTACAGAAAAGGGGCTAATGTACACTGGTATAAGGAGTTTCCTCATGGGGGAGTTTCCTAAACTTCCAATGAAACCCTGGGTCCAGTCCATAGCCCTAATGCCCACTGTTAGATGTAAACATGTTTTCTTCCCCCACAGAATTTAAACTCCTTTCATACCTGTCTCAGAATTCCCACTGTCTAATGTGGGACATATAGTAAGTATTTAACAAAAGCACTCTGACTCATTTATGTTTCACTGGTATTTATGCAGCATCAGGAAAACAATAGGAAGGCCCCAACATGTAAATGAAGACTGCCTTGAATTTGGGGGTATACATGGATTCTGAGATGAATTATTAGAGGAATATCCATGGCAATGAAATCACCAATTTATGAAGATATAGGAATAAAGG